AAAAAAAAAACAGAAATTAATGAACGGAAACTGAGAAGAAAGGATAGTGTTGCACCGCTGGCCACATTATAGAGGATAGGAGGGGAGTCTCGTTGTTCACCCCTCCATTCTCGTTCTTGCTTTATGTGAGGTGGTAAGCTCCTACACCTGCTTGTGTGTGTTTGAGCCCTTTTCCATGAATTATTCGATGATATGAAACTTTCGTCTCCAAGACCTCTTGCGTTTTTATATATTGTTGATGATGCTGTTGTTTTCATCTTTGCTGCTGCAACAAGTGCTGGGGGAAAGGGCAAAAGAAAGATGGAATGGATTTCTTTCGCCAGCCTCTGAACACCGAAGGATAACTCCTTCCCAAGCGCACACACACCGGTGGACAGGGCGAGTATGAAATCCTTCTTAATGAATGAGGCAACACAACAGATTGGGTGCAGTGTAAAGGTCTATTTCCCTATTTTGTGTACTGTGCCTCCTTCTTTTCTCACGTTTTTTGTTTTGTTTCTTGCTNAGATTGGGTGCAGTGTAAAGGTCTATTTCCCTATTTTGTGTACTGTGCCTCCTTCTTTTCTCACGTTTTTTGTTTTGTTTCTTGCTTTCTTTCATTTCTTTTGTGATGCTTCTTCTTATTCAGGTTCGATGTGTCTTTCTTTCGCTCTGCTCTCACTCTCTCTCTCTCTCTTCTGCATTGTGAGTGCTCCCCTTCTTCTTGTGGTGCTCGCAGGGCTCCTTCGGCTACATGACGGACAGTTGCACCTGTACGCATGAAAGGGCGGGAGGGGTTGGCTGTGCACTCTCTTCCCCCCTGTGTGTTCTCCGCTCCCCCTCTTGTTCTTCCGTTCTTGTTGATTTTCGGTCTTTTGCTTGGTACTGCTGCGCTCTCTGCATTCTTCTGTGGGCCTGATGGGAAGGACATTGTGGCGCGCGGCAGTGTTACTTCTTTTGTCTTGTCGTTGCGGCCGCAGAAACCAAAGAGCAGAAGAAACATTAAGCACCGCGGAGAGAGAGGTGACTGTGACCAGCCACAGAAGATGACAACGGTGTTGTTAACAGGACTGAAGGTAGGAAGACAATTCGCCCTTCGCGTGGGTTTTTTTTTATTATCTCATCTGTTGTTGTTTTTTTTTTTGTTGTTTAGCCGCATTTTTTGTTTTTAATTATTCGGCTCTCAATCAAACCTATGCCGCCCGTCATGGGTGGTGGCATCCACCACACGCACGGTGGGGGAAATGGGGTTGGACGCGGCACCAAAAGAGCTGCGCACGTTTCCCACATGCCAATACGATTAAGGACGGGTGGTGAGCAACATCAGAAACAGTGTTAATAATACAGTCAGCAACCGAAGAAGAATTATTATTAGAGAAACATGAAACTGGAGGCAAAGAGGGGGTGGGGGAAAAAAAAGTTTTTATGAGGGCGAGGATAACAGACCTTTATTATCTGCTGAATGTGGTTCTGATCATTTGTGATGGGTCAAAAGGAAGGGAACGAGTGGTAAAAGTGTTTCTTCAGCTGCTCTGTGTGGTGTTTTCTTCATATACAAGCATATACGCAGAGAGAGAGAGAGAGAGAGAGAGAGAGAGAGAGAGGGAGGTGTGAAAAAAAAGCAGTATGCATTTTTAAAAGTGTATGTTGCTGATTATTGCATTGCCTATCTGCTGCCCCCAGCGACAGAGAGGACAGGAATTCATCTATATATATATATATAATATAATATAGTATATATATATGTATATGTATATATATATTGTATTATGTTATGTTATATTGGCTGGTGGATGCGAATCGACGTGGGACGAGGTGCGAGTGTCGTGAGCGGCTGGGTAGGTGAAAGCGGGGAGCTGTGAGTGTGTCATGCTTCACGCCCAGCATTCAGTACGACTCGCAGCCGATCCTTTGTCCTCTTTTCATGTGGAGCCGTTGTTTGCACTCTACATGCCGTCCTCGCTTTTCGCCACGCGACGCCATTGTAAGCACTATCATCATTATGAAAAGTAGCATCAGATTTTCTTTTTTTTTATAAAAATCTCCGGGTGAATCTTTTCTTTTTGTGCTTCTCCCCTTCTTCCCCACACAGCGGCACGCCCGTTGGTGTGCCTGCGGCTGTTGACCGTGTCATGGCGGGGCGCGCCGTGGACGCAGCCGCTGTGGGGCGGTGGCCCATTTTCCTCGTAGGCGGCGGTGGCGGTGGTGGCAGCAGAGCGGAAGCCACTTCGTCACCCACCGGAGCTGTCGAGTAGAGGTAGGGAACGAAGAGTAAATATAAAGAGAAACGCGATGGGTTCCTCTGCTTGTTTAATGTTGAGCTCTGTTTGTTTCTCCGCGCAAACAAAGCGGCAAAAAAAAAAACAAACGGTGTGTTCCAAGGAGTCAACTGCGCTTGAAACGAACGCTGGACTCACACATCTGCTCGAAGCTGTTGCTTCTCGAACCTGAAATGTTCTTACTGCCTTGCAAGGGGATGACCGGGCTTTGTCTCCGCATCATTCTTTCCCACCATTTGCCCCAAGAGTGCTGTTGTTACTTTTTTTTTTCCCCGCCCTTCGCTTGTGCTTTTTTTGCCTTTGCTGTGGTGGTAGCCGCCCTGTGGGCCGTGAAGCTGAAGGAGGCGCCGCGGCGATGGAGCACGTGACGCTCTGCGCCGACTTCGCCGCTCGCCGCGAGTATCGCCTGCTCGCGGTGGATGCCGCGTGGGTGCAGCGCCAGAGGGAGAGGATCGCCGGTGGGTGTGAGGAACATCAACCACAACAACAAGAGGGGAAGGGAGAAGCGAAGAAAAGAGGAGAGGAAGCCACGCTGCTCATCATGAAGGGGCGTGAACAGCTGCTGCTCTGCGATGAGGAGCATACATTTCGCGTGCGTCGCGTGGAGTACTCAAATACACTCCTGCTCGCGGAGGAGAGGGCGATGTGCGACCATGAAGACACGTCGGTGGCTACCGCCTCGGAATCAGCTGCTGGCACAGCGTGCGACGGAAAGGTGAAGCAGAAACATGTGGTGATCTGTGCGGCGGAGCGATTGTTTGAGGCAAAGCGTGCCACCCCGCAACAGGACGCAGTGCGGCTGCTGCTACAACGACCCATGACTATTGATGAACTGGAGGCTGACGACGAAGAGGACGATGACAAACGGTTATGCAAAGATGCTGGTGCTGAGGCGGAGTCATCCGCTCTAGGCGGCAATGACCAGCGCGACTACACATTCCCGCAGCTCGTGGCTCTGTGCCGCTGCAGTGCGCACGAGTTGGCGACCACGCTAGCGGAAGCGGGTGCTGTCGTGCACCGCGGGCATGTCCGCTTGCTGCACCCGTCGCTACTGCGCGAGGCGCTGCAGGCTGTGTTGTTCTTCTTCGAAGGTGGTGGCGACACGACGTGGGAGGCGGCGGAGGCCCATTTGTGCCCCTCTGTTTACCCGCCAGTCGTGGTGCATGCTGTGCGTGCGGCGTACGGTAAGACGGAGCGGGCACCTGACGAGACGGCGGCGGCGGCGCTCCTGCAGACACGGAAGGTAGTGCAGGCGTTGGCCGCCGTCGTCGTGCTCGCCGGTGCCGACGAGGCAGACAATGACGCGATGGGCGCGGCGGCCATGCTTCCTTCGCTCGAGCTCGAGCGTTTCTACGATGCGTGGGCCGACCACATTCCGGCGTCTTTTTTCGCGTGTGGCGCTCTGCCGCCGAGGTCAGAGAAGGCGGCACTGCTGTCTTTGCTTAACGGCGCTGTTATCATCCGGAGGACGCGCGGCGACAGCGACGCAGGCGCGGTGGTTGTGTGGGCACCACACGAGGCCCTCCCCGCCGAGCTGCCGCAGCGGGTGGAACGGCTGTTTGAGCTCAACCCGGGCCGCTGGGATGCGGACGCGCTGCGGGCGTACGTGCAACCGCTGCTCGACCCCGGCGTGGCCTTCGACCACGTTGTGCACCGCCACGCAAAGGAGTTCCGCACACCAAACCAGCCTGTCACTTATGGTAGGCTCGTGTAGGTGCTAAAGCTGCATGCTGCGTGTCGTGTGCCGGGCTGCTTTGAAGCAGCTGCCCCCCACGCGTGTGTGCCCATTTACGGTTACTGCTGCGTTGAACCGTGCTTCTCTTTATTCTCTTTTTTTTT